AAAATCAAACTGCACAACTTGCGATCTGATTATGCAAACAGCCTTTCTGCAAAATTAATGATAGTTATACAGAACTCTTATATTCTCGTAAATATATTTTGAAAGAAGAGAATGAATATTTGCATATTATTGGTGGTTAATTAATGACCTCAGACTCGTCTTGCTGATGTGACCCGCGTTGTCACCAATATTTCAAATATCATTACATAATATTATTACATTGAAAATATGAATAGGTTAAAATGCTACGTTCAAAATATCTTACATGAGTATACTACTTTGTATTTTAAATATCAGTGTGAAAATTTTATTCGAAGACAACGTAATGCTTCTTTCCGCAATAACTTTGCGCCAATAGAACAAGATGGAATTAAGAACTGATAGTGAGAAAATGAGTGTCGTACTCCAAGAACTTAAAATGATTGCTTTAAACGTTGCTTTTGGCGTCAAGCTAACCTCAATGGCAGAAAGGCAGATAGCAACTGAATGTACAAAAAAACAAAAAAGCATGTTTAGCATCGCGTATTCCTTGCAGAAAAGCCTTTCGACGTTTAATGTTTGCACGACCAGTGATAACGTCAATCCTACGTCTGTTATATACTGCCAAAAAAATTCTTGTATGCATAAAAACCATTGCTAGCATAGTTAGTGTTATAAATACGGTTTGTATTACTTTCACTGTTCCTTGATCGATGAAATATATAAAAAAGTAGGCTCGTAACGAATGGACAAACCAAAGGATTAAAACGATTTTGAAAATACGTCTATTCGTTACTTTTTCCCTATGAAAAACTGGATGTATGACTGACAAATATATTTCAAAATTTAGAGCCAAAAATGTGACAACTGATGCAGACACAAGTATTTCAATTGCTAGGTTGCTCATCATGACATTAAAACATCTTTCATTTCCACGTATTTCCCTGCTCAGATGTAGCAAAAACAGCGGTTCTGCAATGAGTCCAGCTGCTAAGTCGTTTGAAGATAAAACCATTACAACGAAAAACGAAGTTTTCCGTTTTAACTGCGGCGATTTCCAAAACGCATGGATAGCTAGATAGTTGAGAACTATTATCAAGAGCGTTTGTATGAAATTGTAAGTTAAACAGACGACATGGTTGATATAGCATGGCCGGCAATGAAAGCCAGTGACAAGTAACAACTTTAAATTCTCCCAAACGCAATATTCCAAATATTTTTCAAATTCTGCAGTTGGTGTTGTAGACGTTTCGTTTCGCGTCATGTTTCTTCATTTCAAGAGCTCTATAATTGCTTAAACTGACTTTTGATAGCCTGGAATAATTTTTGTTTTATTTGGCCTATCATCTAAGACTAAGTGCCAGATGGTTAAATAGAAAAATGAGATAAAGACGTAATGACTCTTGGCAAATATGACAATATTGATATGGAAATGCCATCTATACATGTCTCTCCGGCTGTCTTTGAAACATCACTACTTCTATAATATGGATTTCACGTATTCCCATAACATCAAGCTTTTACGTTTTAAAGATTGGCTGTATATTGATGGGTCTAATATAATTAATCAAAAGATATTACTAGTTTTTCCTCAAGTCCCAAATTTGCATTTCAAAAAAAATGTGTACTTTTGAGATTACAAACTCGTCCACGTGACTTGAGGTAGCCGCCATCATGTCGCGCCATGTGTTCACATTCTTATCAGTAAAATTTGTGAAAATGTGATATTCTGTTTTCATCGTAATGCCGGCCTGCCGTCATGACAGACCAGGCTTTCAGGAGAAGGAAAAGATAAACAGATATGCAAAATACGATATTTTTTTAACTCCAAACGACGATGCAAAGGCTATTTTTTATCTATCATCAGTTCTATCCTATCAGTTCGAACTAAGTGCCCAGGAAACAAACGTTTTGCGCTACGTTTCACTACCATGTGATTGAGGTCGTCGCCAAATGTCGTCATGCACATGCACAATGCAACAACGAACACATAGCCTCATTAAACTAACGATCTGTTCGTCAAATAATTATAGACTAAACGTTGAAATTGATTATTTTTCATATCATGTTTGACCTCATTCAGTAATTAATAAGTCGCACCGTGTCACGTTCAACAAACGAGTTAACTTTTGATTAGTTTAATTCCCTCATCACGATATTTTCATGAGCATTTTTGGGCGGGGCTTCGAAATAAAAATTATGTATAGCTCTTTATATCCACGAACTTTTACTACCTCCAGCATTCTGTTTATATGAAGTGTAAATGCATGGTATACTTAATTCGGTATAGTGTTGATACTGTTAAAGGTGGATAAAATTCATCATCGAATATTAAAAATGTCAATTACTGACACTTATCATGACCAACTTTGGCAAGACGAACTCTGGGGGATTCTAGTAATAGCTATAGTTGTCTTAAGAAGGGCCTGGAGGTGAACTGCATCAGTCACATCACGTTGCTCACATCACTAATAATTAATTTTAATTATAAGAACGGCGGCTCTTATTTTTGGAGGCTTACTATTTTCTAGTGTTCGACAGACAAGACGAAGGACAGCATTACCATTTTGCGGCGAATTCCGAAGCTGAGTATAACGACTGGAATAAACATATAAAAAATGCAAGGTTAGTGTTAAGGCTATATGCGATTTTGTCTTTTGATGGATGTAAACGAGTGATAAGTTACTGATGTTCAAATAAGAGCTTTTATACACCAGAACATTCGTAACTAATTACTCGTTCACATCTATCAAAAGAAGAAAATCACACAAAATCGCAGCAAAAATCGCAAGTGTAAACGAGCCTTTAAGTTTTCATTGAACCGTAGCTTACATGACTATGCAGTATATATAATGATGATTGATTCTTGCAGCTACGAAAAGCTTAAAGAAAAATTACAAAAACTATGTGAACAGATTACCGAGATGACTGGTGAGGTAAACAATATTATAAACAATATCGTGTTGGGCATGGGCATGAACTGTGGGATGGGAAGTCAAGTCTATCCACAGCTAGTTATTATGCATATATCCGTTGGATTGCAAACTGCCCTTGTTAATTTTAGCACCCGTTACCGCATAACCATCCATTTCGTGATGATAACGACAGCGAGGTAAGCATTTGTTTACGTAAGTATATACCTGTGCCCATCTTTATACTCTGAGGTACCAGGTTAACCACCGGCCTCTTAATGCTTCAACAAGTGAACAACCTGGTCGGCATTATCGATTGATACGCCCGCGCCAGCTCTAGTTGGCGGAAACTTTGCGTCGATGAGAAAACATATAGTGCACATATAGTGGCAGCCTCACGGAGTGGTTGCTTCAGGAAGTTGCTCTCACGTGTTTGCGGCGGAATTTATCACATTTTTTCGTGCAATTTTAGCCTCCAAAACCACCAAAACCGCTTCACAAACCTCCGTTGCTGGAAATAAGCATGGGTAATGTTCATGTAAATTATAACTTTCGAGCATGTATAGAATTTTGAAAAACTCATTCTGAACAATATGTTAAGTAAAGCTAAATATTGTCAATTTATTACACAGCTTGCAATGATCTAAAACCAACTGTGGAGAATAAATATCCAAATGCAGTTATAGTTGTTAGTACTATGACCCCTCCTGGAGCAACTTGGTCCAGACTTGCACAGACTGAAATAATAGAGGTATTACAGCATGATCAGGACCTGTTGAGGCGATTTTTATCCAATACTGTTTTTGTCCAATTTTCCGTGTGCATGTTGGATTTTCTTGTGTTTTAGCAAAAACGTCACCCATATTTCTTGACGACTATAAGCATACCTTCTGGTGGAAATTACAGTGAGGTAACAAGACTAAAACTTGCTGTCTTTGATGTTCGCGACCGAGATAAAGAAGAGGCAAGTAGTTCACTAAATATAGTGTATGTAATTTTTTAACTTCAAACAAATCGTCTTATTGCACAAAACGTCAGGGTTCTTCTTCAAGTGAGATGAATTTTTTAGATGACTCATTTGGGTCAGGCAGTTTGTACAATCAAGGATATATTGGATTCCACGAATCAGAAAATTCAACTTTCTCTTACGTGAGTTCATCATTATGCTTTCCGAGAAGCAGAGAATAAATATTGGATGATATATAAACAAATACTAGTGTACCCTTTATAACATGCATGTTTCTTTTTTCGGACCCTTTACATGTTTCCGCGGTCAACAGTTTCAAAATGTCATGACAATTTCGAAATGTTGTCTGTTTTAGTGGCTTGGACTCTCCAACGGCCTCAGGGACAATAACATTTAGGCTGGAAGGTAAAATAATTTTTATCAAAATAGATCTAAAGATCAAAGATCAAAAGATCAAAGATCTTTCTTTCTTTTAACTGAGAAATCTTTCTAACTAACACAACAAAATGTCATACTATAATGCATGTATTTTAGGTTGAAACTGTTCAAGATACTTTGGTAGGTATATAAGGTTATTGTAATATAGATTGTATTATGCATCCTTGAAAGATTGGTCAAGTATTAATGATTGTATTTTTTTAATCTTTGAAATAAGATTTTTCACCTATTTTCAGGCGGACACTGATGGAACGTTCAGACCAAGATGTGGCTCAATAAACAAGTGCGTAAACGATAATCGTTTGAAGCAGTTGTGTTATAGGGTGCCTTAGGAAGATAGATCAAGGAGAGTGACGCCCGGTTATTATTGGTGTTTTTTTCATCTTCTATATAGACCGAAATTCGACAATATGTTACAAAGATCATTTAGATTTCCTACAATGTAAGTATTGCATGTGGTTTTACTGCAACGAAAGATCGCGTCATCATAATGGGTTGAAAAGTCAATTCGATACTTTTTAGCTTGGGTACAGAGGTGAAGTTTGTGGATATGATGGGCGAAAGCTTTCTGACGTTCAGAATTCCTCAACAATTACTGTAAGTCATGAGTAAAATATGATATTTCATTTAGTAAAATGATTAGTTTTCGTCTCGAACTAAAATGTCGTTACCTATAGTTTACCGACTATATAATACGTTAAAATGTTTACCTTTTTGCAAATGCTTAAATACCGCGATATAATTTCAAATTTATAATCTGAATCATATAATATGCGTCGAGATCAAACTTCAGAAATTGATACGAGAAAAAGAAAGTATAGGTAGAAACAGTAAGAAAAAATATACGTATTCGTATTTTATTTCTATTGATGAGGCATGCATGCGCATATTTTTATTGATAATATGTTTAAACCATGCATGCATGCACGGATGTTTCTACAAGTTAATGAGTCATATAGCAAGTTCTTGAGTCGTATATTAGGGTTATTCAGCGGGACTGTTTCCACGACAAAATCAGCTGATTGATCTGTAACTAAAAAATATTTATAATGATTTTAAAATGGATTCAAAAACAGTGCACTTCTTCATTGTAGTCATGGACGCATGAGAATGATTTTTTTAGTATTTCAAGGAGTGTATACATATATGTGAATTGGGAAAACGCCATCGTTGCACGAAAAATTTATTTACCACAATATAATAGTATCATTTTTATTGTCTTACATTTTGTGGTCTTGACGTGCTTCGAGGTCGTCTTGATGTAAAACTCAATGGTCGCCTGGTAGTGCGATATTGCCTGATACGTCGGGTTGTACGGAAGACAAAACGCGTTGTTTGTCGTGGTGGTGTTGGTGTTTTTCTTGTTGGTGTTTGTTGAACGGTCAGGAAGACCGCTGATGGTGTTGCCTTTATTCGCCTTGGTTTCGTTGAAGAAATCTGTTCTCTAGCAGCTGTTGATTTTGAAATGAGGCTAACATCAATTCTGGGTGTTGGTGTCACTCGCCATGGTCCAAAATCTGCTCGGTACACATCTCCTATTCTTAAAAATTTGTTTTCTGATGGCTCGTCACCTTCGTTTTCTGATGATATATCGATTAGTTTGTTATCTGATGCTATTTCAGCTTCGTCTTCGAAAACATCATAATTCTCACCATATGTACATGGCAGCAAGAAAATTAGCAATAACGCGAACAGAATACTTTTCGAGTGAATCTTGTGGTATAGTGCCATTGCCTTAATCCCCTGCCGAGCAGCTGGTATTACAACTATACATGCACTATTTCAATTTTATTGAGATTTCACCCTTCGGGCCATGATTGTCAACGCCCATGATACCTATTTCATTACAAAGATGCTTTAGGTTACCGTCTTCCTTTTTCATTTCATGTGCCAGACTTTCAAACTTATTTAAAGAGTGTCTGTTGGCAGGATGCATGCCATGCAACTTCTCGAAAAACTCAACAGTCTTAATCTTCACTGGAATGAAACAGCGTATAAAGAAGCTTTTTCAATTGCTAGGTCGTATTTAAAAAGCATCCCTTTCTTTGCTTTTTGCAAAATTTGGAATTAAGCATTTCATAGATCCAAGTAATATAATGAATATCTTTATTGAAACAAACCATTACTGAAGTGTATGCAAGTGAGACACAGTGTCACACATATATTCATCCCTGACTACTGGTTGCGCACTTTCGTTTACAAAATTCAATATATCTTCAGATTGCGATTTTGATGTTTTGCATGCATGAATGTCACTATATTTTAAGCATTGGCTTTCGTGGTTGTCAGGAAGAGAACAATCATAATCAGCAAAGGGCAATATAAAAATGTCATTTCGTGTGCGTCAAAACGTTTTTTTATTAGCTGCCGTAAGCATCCGCTCCTTATTTTCAAGTTTTCTTATAGAGTAGGGGATGTCTGCTGCATCATAAAGACCTTTCTCTATACTATATCTATATCACTGTCTGTAAATGTGACCTTGAACGTCTTAGACGTCCGAAGATGATGAAATAATACCTTTCAAGAACGCAAATAACTAAAAGTCATTATTACCATTGTGATTATCGTTGTTTCCATTGCATGCAGTCATTATTATTATAACTGTATAATCTGTATTAGTAGAATCATACTAGCATACTATTGCAAATGCTGAAATTTGATTGGCTACTCTACTCGCTATCTAATTGTTGATAGATAGCGAGTAGCGAAACAGTCGCATTTCTGGCGTATTTTTTAGAAAAATGGCCTCCGGCTCGCGGTTTTCTGAGGTTTCTGAGGATGAACTTGATTGAGGATGAACTGATTCTACTAAAACAATTAGATTACTTGCTCTCAATTTCTATGAGGTGATAGTTGATGAGGGCGAAGCCCGAAATCTCGAGCTCGTAATCTAATTGTTAATTAGATATACTTGTGGCAATAGTAATATTAACATATGGCCTGGCCTAAACCACGAAATTTATTCGTTAATTTAGTGATCGTGTTTTTCATGCTTTCTTGTTGTTTGATACAAAATATCATGAATCTCTACCTGCTCAAAACCACGGAATATATGCATGCAGCAGGGCTCCTATAGCTATATGCCTTACGACGTGTCTCTCTGATTTCATTGCAGTCGACTTTGCAGGGTAATGGCGGTTTTGTTTGAAATTTTAATTATGCATGACATTATATGGCATTGTAGCAGTATTCAGGGGCTTTTACGGAGGCAAACTAGGAAATAGTTAAGAATGAGGAGACGACATAAAACTGCAATACAACTCATTAACTATGTTGAGGTAGATTTATGCAAAAAAATGTACCTTTCTCATCACGTGTCTATTGTATTTTGGACAGATAAACCAATAGCAATCTTATAATTAAAATATTTTCAAGTCAAGGTTGAGGAGCTTAGCAAGACAAATGCCATTGGTAAATTTGGCTCAAATACAATATAGACACGTGACGAGAAAGGAACGAAGTTGTTGTGAGAAATGAGTTGTATTATACTTTAATTTAGTCTTCAACCATGTATATTTTATTAACTGTGGTCTAAGAAATAGGTTACTTTATTTGGACATTCATGACTCTATTCTTTAGCATCTATCAGGAAGATAATCGATGATGGCAGCAATTGTGAACGAGTCTTTAACAAAACAACAATAGTGAGACATGGATATTAGTAATTGCCTTGCAAATTTGGCGGATTTTTTAGAGGAGTGCATAAACTTTGCTTGGCCTGATCCCTTGTGTCGTATTGAAACTTTTCACTATTCGGCCTGGATGTTCGTATAAGTTCGGACTAGCTAAGTCTAAGATATCCCAAATTGTTCTAAATGAATAATTACCAAGACAAAAAACACTTTTGTTTTTCTGCATGTTTATTATTTTAACACTTTATCATTTATTGCAAAAAGAATTCTAGAAGTTCCCAGTGACTATATAAATGCATGAATATTAGTTATGTATGCACGCAGTTCAAAAGATATTTAGCCTAATAATTTCCCGATACATCTACGCCCATAGCATCTAATATTTCTATAACGTGATCTGTACCACAAACACAATCCAATGCCCGTTGGTAACATATCCATTGAGGAATATTTGATCTACGACATGAAGCATATGTTGCGCAGCACCGTTGACAACCAGTATAGATTGGTAAAACACAAACATAACTTTGCTGGAAGATCGTTCGCCTAGGAACCACGCACGTTAGACCACAGTCAAATGGACAAACCTGAAAGAAGATTAAGATATTTTTGGGTTATTTTTTGTTTATTAAAGACACGAGCATGCATTGCAATGATTGCATATAGTATTTAATATGAAAATATAGGAGATACTTAGGGTTATTCGCCATTATAGGCGATAAATAAGGCTATCGTTGAAAGCATGCACAAATAATGTTTACGAGAGATTTAACTCTAACAGTCTAACTGCATGGCTTATAATAACATCGCATAACTCACACTCGGCCGGAAAGTAGGTCTTGCCTTCTTGTGGGTCTTGGTGGTCTTGTTCTTGTTATTCTTCTTGACGTTGCTCGTCTTGATCTGAACCTTCGAAACCTGAGCCTTCGTGTTGTGCTAAAGCCCAAAGTAGGCGTTGCTCGTGGTGTTGGAGTTTGCTGAACGCCTGCTGCTGTCCGTGATGGTTGAATCAAACTTGGTGTCACTCGTATATGATCTTCTTGGTACTCTTCGTCAATATTCGACCATTCGTTTTCCGACGGTAAACCTTCTGCTTCGTCTTTGAAATCATAAGTCTCACCACGGGTGCAAGCCAATAGAACAACTGTCAGTAAAGCGAACAGAAGAGTTTTGGAGCGAAAGGCTGCCATTGTCCAACTCTAGATCTCTGGTCAACTGAACCCCTGCACCTTTTTCTGTTCTTATATACACGAGGTATATATGGACCTTTTGTACATGCCAATATCACTCTGATTTGCATGGATGAATGAGTTCACTTCATCTTAATTACAAATAATATTTCCGTTTCATCCATCCTGTTGTCCCCTATTTCTGCGGCATTTGGATGCCTACGCGACTGATGACGTGTGTAGGAATAAATGCCGTTACTTCAGCAAAATTTGAACGGAAGCCTGAATGTGTACGCTGGTTTCAACTATTGTGTAATACTGCTTTGTGATATTGCTCATGAAAAAGATCATAATTTCTAAACAATATGAATTGTTTAGGATTAAGTATATGATTAATGAAGCCTCATTATATGAAGGTATTTGAGGAGCCTTCTCACGAAGTGGAGTGTCTTGTTTTTCACACATCAAACAAAGACCACCAGTCAAACATATGCAAAAATTTTAGGAGAATGGGGAACTCAGCTCCAGTGAACATACAAGAAAAATGTTCAATAACAGCCTAAAATAAATGTCCTATGTGGATATTTTGTGGATATTATAATCGACCCGCATGTTTGTATTAATATTGTTATTATATTAATACTAATTACTCATTTGCCAAGAGATGCATGAACGTTGAGCTGAATAAGCGGATTCATTGCGTTTACGTACCATTGTTTACACGGATTATAAATTTGCAAATAAAGAAAGAGACATCCTGTTGTGTTCGGCATTGCTCTGGGGCTGAAAGGCAATATTGTTAAACTAAAACTATCCCGGCCTATTGCTACGTAATATCTCTTTTAAGTAACCCTTCTTTATAGATGGATAGACGATACAATTTATTAACTCCATGGAGCCATTTCCATTCTTGACTATACTTGATTAGCCCAGGCATATGATCGCAGGTGTTCTTCAAGAGTCTATCTTGTAAAACCTTACTGAGTGTTATTTGTATTTCAAATGATGAAATCTTTCTCCTCTTTTGTCTCATAAAAACATTACATGAATGCCATAAATATACAAAATACAAAATTACCATAAATATACAAAAAAACAAACTAAATTTACTGTACTCATTGATGAGCCGATATAATAACAATATAGATAAACCTTTTTTAAAACGTAAAATGTAAAACAAATTTAATATTTTCCCTTATTGCGCGAACTGAGCAGCTTAACTAATTATCGGGAGGAGGTTTAGCCACTAATAATACTCCACATGTCTATCTTATACATATCCACATCTATTCTACGTTGCATTATAGGGCTATCACACACGCATGCAACTTCATGACGAAATGTGAAAGAATTGACTAACTTTTTTAATGCATGAAACTGCACTGCTTATAGTTAATAATGCAATGATTAAAAGAATTGTGCAATCGTGAACAGCGATCATAATCTCTTATTGCCTCTTACAGGAAGGTTTTCATATCTGAAGAAAAGCAAAAGATTTTAGACTTAAATAATCTTGGCGACGTAAGTGCCACTCATATCGACAACTTGTATTTTCCCACAGTTAGCAGTGTGATTATTTTCATTAATTGCATACATGGCGGGCTCAATTTTGACCCATGCTTATGTGTCTCATGCAGTGAACTGTAATAAATAACTGTCATATTCATTTCACTGGTCCTATGTTTGAAATCTAATTTCTGACGCTAACCCGACAGGTTTTCTTCATAGGATGCGCGGATAGTCTGATCTATATATATTATAATTGCGAGGCAAAGTCCAGTATCTGTCGTGAAGTTTGTCTGAGCCCTCTTGTCAATATTGACATAATTATTCATTACAAGTTTTCATGATTATTTGGTACAAATTGCATGGTTCGCTCAAAATGAAATTTCCCTATTTTAAAATATATATATGTGTTTTTTAAACCCCTTTCAGTCCAAAAACTTTAAATTTTTGAAATGCCTGGTAGTTTTAGTAAAACACGAAACTGTAGGGTCTGGAATACCCATAATATAAGCATTTTTTTATGATTTATCAGGTTATCTTCGCTCTTAACGTTGATGTTTTAAATTTCAATTCATAGTTAAACTCGGATTGGGACAATGTGCGTCAGGAAATTCTCGACAACCATTTTAAATTAGTCAGTAATTATACTGCATCATTTCGTCATCTGAATAATTTGAGAGGTGCGAAAATTTGATCACTTGCAGTAATAATAGAAACACTTACTTTTAAATTTCATATTCTTTTGTCATATTGCCATTTTAATAAATGTTGAGGAATGACCATGCATACAATGTTGGTCACATGTAGCTACCACCCCCCAATTACCTATTCCACATGCAGAGTTGCAAAAAGAGTTCAACCTTCCTCCGGTAGGATTTCAAGTTTTGAAAACCTTCCTAGCTCAAAATGACGTTACGTCATGCCGTGAGTCAAGTGGCAACCAGCATAAACAAATATTTGTTTTTTTGGTACATGCATGTGATCAATGAGAGTGCTCAACTTTTAACCTTCCTCACAAACCTCATTCAAAGCAAACCTTCCTCCGGGTGGTACCCGCGTACCCGCAGCTTTTTTGCAACTCTGTCCACATGCTGTCATCAGTGTAATGTCACAATATCACATCCATTACGTGTTCACCATGCGATGTTGAACATGACCTGTAGAGAGCTCCTTGCTGAGTAGCGGAGAAAATCCAGGCGTAACTGACGGGCAAACGAAAGCGTGTAACGCTCGCTTCCCATTCACTCCTGATAGTTGAAAATTCTCTTCTTCGTCCTAATTTACGACGTATTGAATTTATTGGATTTTTTCAGAAAGGCAAGATATAGGGGTGTCATCTTGGCGTAATTTTAAACCAAGCAGCCTGAAGACGGACAAGACCTTGGCGTTTGTTACAACAAACTTACATTTGCAAAGACTTAAAGTCATAGATGGGACGAATGGTATTAATTTTTTCTCCTATATTTTGCTCAGTATTCCGGCCTGATAGCAATATACTGTTATAGCAATATTGTATACCTAAAATATTTTTACAAACATTCCAACATTTAATGCATTTCTTCGATGATCACGTAATTTGGGCCTCGCTCTCATGAATCACAAGGGATTAAGGGTCGACACTGAAAGTCAAGCTCTTATATATATGCAATCGATACGGCGTGATGTAGATCTTTGACTCGATGAGTTTGAGTGTGAGTGTGTCTCTCAATCCAATATAGAAGGACTCCCAAAACCAAATGTATTAATGATGTAATCATCGAAAGAGCGTTTCACTTATTTTTTTTCGCCAAATGTCTTTATTTAGAACAAGGCTATGATGTGGTTACGTTTGGGGCTCCATCGGCTCATTCAATGAAGTACAGTAAAGGAGGGTTGAGAAGACTTCTAGGAAACCTGAGAGAAGCTTATTTTACGTACGTAAAAACACCTTGCTTTACTTTCGATTCTTAAAACGTGTAGTGTGTGTATAACGCATGCGCGAAGATCTTGTGACTAGCTTACCATCTTACCAGTTTTGGCGTAATAACACTCTCTGCATCTCTCTGTTTGGATTTATGTTCAGGCAAAGTGGAGGTGACAACAGAGCAAACCGAGCTAAGAATAAAAGAAGTAAGGGATTGTCCGTTATTTATGTTTTGATTTTTACTGATATTTTTAATAATAAGGGTTAAAGGATAAAATCGAAGCCAAACACATGACGCAATCGCAATATTAATTAATTACCATTAATTCATGTATCTTCAATAATATGCTGCATTCTCATAACAAATAAATTTCTTTGTACACTTTTTTAGTTGAACTGGAACTGTTGAAACATGCATTTAAGGATATATGTAAAAATTTTAAAAGGTATAAAATATGATTCTCGATATAAGTACTGCTTGTTTTTTATCTGCCCAAGTAACGCATAGCGCCAGCGCCTCCGTTGCAGGATCGGGCATGGAACTATGACATACAGGGCCGCTATTCGCATGCAAGTGGCTTCCTATTTGCGGTTTAAACAAATACTACATCATTTGTATGCTCATTGTGAGCATATTTTATCTACAAATTATTTATATATAATCAGCTCTCCTACGCTTGTCATCATTTTAGCGCTTTAGCCAATAACAACTTGGAGGAGGTCATCGAACTCTCAACAAAGTTGCACGAAAAGGTGAGTTATACCAAAGACCAAGAATATACCTCTTCGGTTATTTCTTGTGAACCTGGCAAGTTGATCTGCTTTTGTACAACGGCGAGACGCCTCGAGACACGACCTTTTAAAACAAAACTTGAGTAATGATCCGATAATAATGGTTTTGTGTCTTAACCTTGATTTCCCATGCATGCTCATGTACATTTCTCATGTAGGTGAACGATCTTCTAAAATACTATGAAATGACGTTTATCATCGATTCTCTTGTTTCGTTGAGTACATCCCGTCCAATTCCATCCACGGCTTCAACTTCTCGTGAAGAATATGGTGAGAAATACACATACAAAGGTAGAATGAACGTATTTCCTATATATAAGATTTCGTAATTCGTTTTTGGTATATGTGTGGGATAATTTTTATCACCCTATACATTTTATATCACCTTTATCCCACATGTCCCTAACTGTGTGTATATGCATGGATTAACTTAACTTGGCGAATGCGGAGCAAATTGGATAGACTAGAAATAGTTATCGGGATTACGAGATGCATGCGTGGGTTGAAAATGAGATCATCTTGCATGGGAGAAAGTCACATTCAGTAAATGACCAAGCAGTGGTAATGTAGTACCTAACTTAAGTAATAAATTTTCATATATTCTTTAGGCCTAAATGATTTTCAACCTGAATCGGAGGATGCCGATGACCCCGAATGCCAGGTATTTTTGATTCACTAACATGCAGACTGACCGCAAATAAACTGAATAACTTGGCTTGGCACAAATAAACGACTGATTGGATATAGGAAGAGAATAAATCGGACGTTTTTCATGTAAATTACTCTTCGATAGGTTCTGCGTAATTCTATTGAAAGTTCAGTGGCGCAGATTCTAAAAATGATTAATGAATTGAATAAAGAAAGTCCGCTAATTTTGAATGGTAGGTTTTCCGTATAGCTCACGAAATTAATCCTTTACTTTCAAAGTGTCATAATAGAGTTGTCCAATTGGGATCAAGCGTTTTGAGTGAGTTGTTTTGTAAGCTAGTAGCTATAAACTACGTTTTATCTTAGACTTAGCAAAGAAAAGTTGGCGAACGATAGGAGAGAAGACTTTGGATTCCGTGGTAGATGATTTACTATTTTGTTGACGCTCTTATTAAGAAATTAAATTTGGGAATGATTTTCGTTCTACTTCAGGTCAGTAAAGTTATCGACACAAGTTACTGTAAGCCCCATGCAGAGGGAGATAAGATATAATGCGTATTAACATTATAATAGAAAAATCTTTCGTCTCTAATTTCCATATATTTTTGTGGCATATATATTTGTATTGTGTTTGCATGTGTAATAGTATATTATAGTCGTGTTATATGAAGTGATGTAATTACCTGGCAAAGGTTATAGCGACATCTTCTCTTAAATAAACTTTTGGAAATATTTATTTTTTATTCAGGAAGAATCGCGTCATGCCCAGACTATGCAAGACCTCCGTCAACGTCGCGATATTTGTCTTTCACAGGCAGTAAGTTATTCAATGTATAAACTCTGTCATGCGAAGAATCTTCGACTGGCCCCCTTTAATGTAATAAGAATAGTCATGTCAGGGATTTCTAAATTGAAAAGCAATGTATAGATCTGATTTTATTTTGTATCAGCTAGTGGGCAATATATAGGTTACGTTATTACTCCGCCTGCGTATGCGCAGCGGAGTCTTAAAATGCCATGGTCTTTTTTCCTTTTCGTCGTTTTGGGCGACAGAAGTTGGCATTTCTACAGGTAACCCAAAACAACTTCATTTTTGACCGAGAAGCCCCTGGGTTACACGGTCCACGGATGACTTATGTTCATCAGTTGGCATGCAGGCGGAGTGAACGCTTTGAGCAGGCGTCTTGTTGAGTTTATTTTTATATATAGTAGATCAAGGGTGATATAAATTAAACCGTTTTATGGTAACGTTTTAAGGTAACGGCACTCATTTGTGGATTTGAAGCTAAAATTTACACATCACTATTTGACGCAAGTTTCATGAAACAACTTTGTGAGATTGGTGTTCTTGCTGAATTTGAATGTCTTCTGAGTACTTACGGTTAGTTATTAGAATTAAGAAAGGAAAGTATATCTATGTTTTTTATTTCTTTTCTTGCGAATGTACATGCACGAGTGTAACCGAAATTAATCGTAACTTCATGCATGTGTAGTCGTAATTTCTGTGGGAAGAAAATTCTTCCATTGGCATCGAATTTCAATAATATCAGCGTTGACCGCGCAAAATCTAATTGTTTCTGAAGTACACTTACATTTTACCAGCACGTATATTTGTTTAATACGAAGTTTCTGCACTTACGGTGCATGGAACTCTTTCTGTCTATTTTTTTACCTCTGCGGATATATAAGAAGGGTGTTCCTTGCGATTTACACTGCATGTTTTAGCAATTCAAGTTATTGACACATGCAAATTCGCACTGGACAAACTCAGCGAAGGCTGATTAAAGCTAAATTTCAAACTGGGTGCAAAATATCCGTGACTATATAACGCATTTTTGTTCTAGTATTTGCTATTTAGCGATCCTGGTTTCAGTATTTTGCATACACTTCAACATTGCGACCATGCAAGCGTCTGCATGTTGTGGTCTGTTTTACGCCTAAATCGTTTTTAATATTTCTATTTTTTAGGTGATGAAATGGGAATGTTAGAAGACATGTCCATTGCAATACGCGATCTTTCATGTGTCAAATTTAAGGTTCTTTACCATAAATGTGACTGATCATTTACAAGCGCACTTTATTAGGATGCAGTAAAGGGACAAGGGATAACGTGAGGTTAAAGAATGAAGATTCCTCATGGGCTTATTTTGGCGATAACAAGAAAGCTAGTCCAGAAAACAGCGTCATTATGCAATGTGTTGACCAAGTCTTTAACTCTTATATCTTTCTTTATATTTCCTTAAGCGAACTTTTCATCATCTTTTTTTTCAGTTCGCTTGCTCTGATAACGAAACGATTCCCTACGTCACTGGAACAAGGTATAATACAATTGCAAGCGCACGATATCATACGGCTTTAAGGCTATGTTTGGTAGTATCCAAATTTACATCTCTCAAAAGAAGAATTGCATTGCAAGTTGCAGGAAAAATTGCACTGTGTAACAGGGCCTTTAGTATCATGCTAATTATTAAACTCCCTGACGATTTCTTTTTGCCTGTTAATAAAACAGGTGCATGGATACCGTTGCATATATAGTACATATATTTGTGTATCTTTTTTCAAGGGCTAATATTCATGTTACCATACTCCTCGAAACAGAATATTTCTGTTATTTACCCAAAGAATTGCAAGAAGGAAAATTAATACAAGTTTCTCCAGTTATTTTCACTCAAGGGATCAACGAACATGCGACTTTAGCTGAAAGGTGACTGTAATGATTTATACCGTACATCCCCATTCATGTATGATAAAAACCATTGAAAGATCTTGTATAATTACACAGTATCACTCAGTAACCTCGTTTAAAGCGGGGTGCATGTTTTTTAAATTGAAACACCTTATTATCTTGTATACGTAGTATCTTCAAAGATCGCAGGCTTGATAATAGTTAATTAGTTATAACCTGGGTGTAAAACTCTTAAGATCTTACAGCAAGTATAGCTAAAAGCAAAGAACACAAAGATGAAGAGATCTAGTAAAACTAGAGCTAGATAGGATCAGAGCATTCGTGTGTTTTTTGATGCTACTGCCCTGCAATACGAGTTTTACTGTTTTTCGTAAAAACACTTCCATCCATCCTATAAAACAAATAATCTTTTCTTTCGTGACGTAACCGCATATTTATTTAAAAAGGTTTGGAGACACCTCACTTCAAGAAGCAATCAACGATGAACATTTCAGTTACATACATTTATACTACGAAAAATTCCGAGAACATTTCCCTGAAGATCTGGAATATGAGGTGGAAAGCCATGACAACGAGATCACCAGAATGAGTTTGCTTCTAAACGATTTCTGGCACATAGAAGATGTGCATGTGCTTAGGGTGATTATCATGTAGTTAGACGTGCGATCATCTTTGTACCAGATGAAATTCCATGTCCTTGAAGAATTGGATGATACTTTTCTTTAATTAGGATCCTATTATATCTTTCAATATTGCCAAACCGAGCATGACCAAAGCAGCTAAAAGTTTGCTTGAGTAGGATTTAGTTTCTTCGAACCTCTCCAAGGTTAGTTGCATACCACCTTTTTAAATTCTCACATCTTCTGCGATCTTACGAGGAAAGAATCCTTCAATACTTAATGGAACTATTTGTCCTTGTGCACCATCACTTTGCCCTTTTTCCTACCCATCTTGGGCAGTGTAAAGGAATGAGAACTTTATTTTGTTATAATTTAGATCATTAGGACCAAAACAGTGTGCAATTAATATAGTTTACAGTACTGAAACACTAGCACGCATGTCTTAACTCCAATACGCTGCCAGGATTTAATACTGGAACATTTTAGTTGTTTCACAATAGTGAAACGTGACCTTTAGTTATACGGTGTTTACCAAATATGATCTATACGGATAGGGCGTCTTTGTACTCTACTATCTCTGCAGGAAGAATGATAGGTTTGAAAGTGACACCTTCGTGATACAAAGTCAGTGCGATTTTTTACTTTTTTTCAGGAGATTTTTTCATTACTTGTCGAGCAGCGGCCGGTTGTATAAAAAAGTGATTAAAGTTAACTATAGTTAAGTGGAAATGTCATCCGATAAGAAGCGCGTATTTGGAAGTTTAATCACTATTTAACTACTTTTTAACTGCAGTTAGCGCTAACTACGTTTTTATACAACTGGCCCCTGATTAATACGTCCTTAATATCTTAACGGTAGTTATAAATCACGTTCTTTTCGCAGATTCTTCTAAGCAGGCAGCGTTCAAGGCTACGCAGTAAGAATACGAGCGAAAGAAAGAAATTGGAAGATCTAATCGCGCAGCTAAATATGGTAGAGATATGCTTGGTGAAACTGAAGATGTTCTTACTTCTGCCCAGGCTGTTAATGGTCATTTTCCATGGATTAACGAAGAAGATAGCAGTGGTAATTTATCATGTACTGTAGTTAATAGTGTTATAACATTTTGAGTTATTTTGTCTACATATCTTCTCAAATTTGCTTTCATTACTTTCAAAACTTAACAAATTGCGTCGGTTTGTCATATCGCGTCAGGTGTGTCTGGACCTTTATCTTGTTGCAAAAGTGCCCGCACTAGTTATAACCTTAATTGATTACTGTCAGTAACAACTAACAGTATGTTAATTATTATATACAAATTGTATTAATATATCCAGTAACGGTTTTTTTATTATAGGTATAGTCCCGTTGCGGGCAAAGAGAAGGGCTGTGGAGGTTTTCCTGATTGGTAAACGTCTCAAAGAAGAAATTTCACTTCTGGAGCAGGAAATGGTTCGATTTCTCTGTTATTACAGAGATAAAATCATTCCAGATCTTTCTTCACGTTTTAATTCGTTAGAAGAAGGTACTTATCAGCAAAAGTGTAGACTTCCAGGAGAGTTTTTATTAATTTTTTTTAATGTTAAGGTTGCTTGCCAGATGACGATTCCATCTTGTGCGAGACCGATAATGGACAATCTGATGAGGTATTGAAACATAAGATTGGGCGTTCTCATGATCAATTATGGTCTTCATCTATTTTTGTTTTTGTGTTTGTTCTCAAAGTTTTTCACGTTGCTTTTTAGGTTGTTGTTGTTGTTGTCGTAGTTGTTATTCGTGGTTTTTAAATGTAGTTGCTTTCATTCAATGTTTTCATGCTTTATATAGGGAAAATACAAACTGACACGATCCAACCAACAGGCAATAGATGGGCAAAGAGCTCTTTTGAACGCGGGTATTTATTTCAGTAAAACCCGGTTGAAAGAAGGTACAATTGTCTTCAAACACATTGCCGAAGGAACATTTGAAGAGCTACTTCTTGATGAGGATTTCACTGGCGAAGTGGATCGTTTGTTTGAGGAGGAAGAGGATGAAATTGAGGAGGGAGAAGATGAGGAGGCACAGGAAGAGAATTGAACAATAGACTAAATCCAGCGACAATGAGTGGGTGGCACCCCATGATACCCCTGCCTTTGAGCAGCTAATACGGGAGAAATCTTCTCGGGGACTGGAAGCCTTGGTCTAAACACGCATTTGCTGTGATGTGATTCACATTTTAGAATTTAATTACGTAAATTAAGTAACTTTGTACCCCATTATTTTCAAATTTCCTAATATAAAGGGTTTTGATGTAGTGTGTTTTGTTACTGTAAAAATTATTAGAAATAAAAATATTAGAAATTATTTGTTATTTTGTGTTCCCATGTTGTTCCCTCCCCTCCCACGTTGTTAAGTTCTCACTCGTTCCCGTTTGTTGTTATCTGTCATACCCATGTTAGTACCGTATCTATACCACTTGGTTGTAATTGAACGCAGCTGTTAACCAGTTGCAATATTCAGTGTACGAATTAATTGAGGAAGTATCTGTGATTCCTCGGCTGCTTATGGGGTAGAGTGATCCACTCGCATCATAACTGGGAAGCGAATCCGTCCCTAACGACCGGTAGCGGGCAAAATTGTAATAGCTAGATACTGGTAATACTGATATATTATGATTAAGTATGAGGCTTTGCTGACTAGTTATTAGCGTCAAATAAAATATCGCTATTTTATAAAAAATTTATTATTTTGGGGTAATTTTGGGGTGTAACTGGTATGAACTATTGTAGTCATATGGTATAGTGGTAAATATAACCCCGATTTTAATAAAATATCGCTATTTTATAAAAATTTTATTATTTTGGGGTAATTTTGGGGTAACTGGTATGAACTATTGTAGTCATATGGTATAGTGGTAAATATAACCCCGATTTTAATAAAATATCGCTATTTTATAAAAATTTTATTATTTTGGGGTAATTTTATGGCGTAACTGGTATGAACTATTGTAGTCATATGGTATAGTGGTAAATATAACCCCGATTTTAATAAAATATCGCTATTTTATAAAAATTTTATTATTTTGGGGTAATTTTGGGGCGTAACTGGTATGAACTATTGTAGTCATATGGTATAGTGGTAAATATAACCCCGATTTTAATAAAATATCGCTATTTTATAAAAATTTATTATTTTGGGGTAATTTTGGGGCGTAACTGGTATGAACTATTGTAGTCATATGGTATGTGGTAAATATAACCCCGATTTTAATAAAATATCGCTATTTTATAAAAATTTTATTATTTTGGGGTAATTTTGGGGCGTAACTGGTATGAACTATTGTAGTCATATGGTATAGTGGTAAATATAACCCCGATTTTAATAAAATATCGCTATTTTATAAAAATTTTATTATTTTGGGGTAATTTTGGGGCGTAACTGGTATGAACTATTGTAGTCATATGGTATAGTGGTAAATATAACCCCGATTTTAATAAAATATCGCTATTTTATAAAAATTTTATTATTTTGGGGTAATTTTATGGCGTAACTGGTATGAACTATTGTAGTCATATGGTATAGTGGTAAATATAACCCCGATTTTAATAAAATATCGCTATTTTATAAAAATTTATTATTTTGGGGTAATTTTGGGCGTAACTGGTATGAACTATTGTAGTCATATGGTATAGTGGTAAATATAACCCCGATTTTAATAAAATATCGCTTTTTATAAAAATTTTATTATTTTGGGGTAATTTTGGGGCGTAACTGGTATGAACTATTGTAGTCATATGGTATAGTGGTAAATATAACCCCGATTTTAATAAAATATCGCTATTTTATAAAAATTTTATTATTTTGGGGTAATTTTATGGCGTAACTGGTATGAACTATTGTAGTCATATGGTATAGTGGTAAATATAACCCCGATTTTAATAAAATATCGCTATTTTATAAAAATTTTATTATTTTGGGGTAATTTTGGGGCGTAACTGGTATGAACTATTGTAGTCATATGGTATAGTGGTAAATATAACCCCGATTTGGGTTAGTATATTAGGATTTAGTTTTGTGTTAGGATAGTTTTTTCTATGTTATAAAAACGGAAACCTTAGTTGGAAGTATATACTATCTGGCAATCACCATTAATGTTGTCTTTTCAAAAACCTTAAACTCTGGGGGCGCAATGATGATTGATTATTGCCTATTTAATATTTAGATTCATAAACCTTGAAAACCTTTTCGAGTGGAACGCACAGAATGGTTCAAGGGCCTAATAGGTGAAAACTCATCAACCCTTGCGCGCTGAGGTTTTAATAGTGAATTAAGTGAATTCACTACACAGAGAACAATTATGGTTTTCAGTTGGTAAACAAAGTCAGAGACATAAGTGAAGTAAAAAAAACTGGATTCCAAACGTTAGCAACAATTTTTATGTCATGTCGGCGTCGTACATTTGGTGCATCTTAAGCACGTTAATGTACTGGAAGGACAATCTTAATTGGAATAAACTGTAGCTATATTAAAACACTCATTAATAAATAATCCACAAGGAAAATACAAAAATAATTAATGTTTAATCAATACTATCAATGTTTGTAAATCGAATACAGATTTGTCCTGATTTAAATAAATCAAATGTTTATTTTTAAAAATGTTTCGCCAATAAAGCATCCAATCCTTCACCGTTGCATGTATATATGTTTCATAATTTGCCCAGAAATATTTACAAACTATTTTGTGACGTGAGATTTTTTGCGTATCGGGTAATTTAATGGAAAGATTAAGTCGGTATAAAGCAATATTGCCTATTGACAGTATTGTCGTATTTGCCAACTAGTAGTGAGTTTAAGATGTGCCAAATCTATCACTGTACGACGCGGGCGTGAAGAAAAACTGGACCTATTCCAACTTGCAGTTTCCGCCACAAGGAAAAAATTATGGTCGCCAGTTGATAAACAAAGTCCAGGGACACAAGTGAAGCAAAATAAAACTGGATTACAAATATTAGCAACAATTTTCATGTCACGTTCGCGTCGTAGATTTGATACATCTTCTCGCTAATATTTCAGTCCAAGATAACCGGTTTGCAGCGTGGCAGTTTCTTGATAAAACAACAGCACAAAATGTTTCTTTAAACTGCCTAAAATAAACAAAAAATCTCCTCGACGTTTCTCCTCGACGTTTCGGTTACCTATGGGCCTTCGTCAGGAGAGGGGGGTGCATGTCCTAAGACCCATAGGTCGAAACGTCGAAAGATTTTTTGTCTAGTATTTCAATCTACAATATTTATAAAGTTGACAGCAAGTACCGTCGTTGGAAGCTAAACGCTCCAATTGGAAACGTTACAAAGTTTATGTCAGTTAGATCAAATTTGATGTCACATTTTATAACGTTTCCAATTAAACTTAGTTGCAAATGGAGGTATTTGGAAATTGCAACACAGTCGTACAGAATAAAGACAGACAGAAGGCCGATTTCCTCGTTTTTGCTATGATTTTGGCGTAACCGTTATTCGTCATAAAAATGCTAACGCCATGGTCCTAGTTAGGCTTAGACACAAGATGCTCGACAACTTTATTTGGCTACTTTTTTGGCCCATTATAGGCTTAAACACAAGACGTTCGACAACGTTTTAGAAACTTTTGACACTCTACTCACTGTATCTTGTGATTTTTGTTCTTTTCTGGAGTTATTTTTAGTACTATACTTCCAGTAATTCAAGGTCAAGCATCTTGTGTCTAAGCCTAGTCCTAGCCAGTGCGCGCTTGAAAGGCATTTCCCCCAGGAAATATTAAAAATGGCAGACATCCAGGGGGGATGCCTCTCAAAAGCGCACTGGCTAGGACCATGGCGTCAGCATTTTGATGATGAATCATGGCGTGGCAGCGGTTACGTTTTTTTGGTTCAGTCTGCCTTCTGTCTGCCTTCATTCTGTGGCAGTGGTGTACGTCACCTAATGTAAAGCTGAAAGAAAGTATCTGTCATTACATCTCAAGAACTGTTTCAGCATTCGTCGTGGAAGAGCATAAAACATATCCTTATGCAAGATAACGTTTTCAGTGATGTCTTTTCTTCCCAAAGGGCATGGGGCAGGATAGTTGTCTTGCACCCAAAACAACATAACACATGAACAGCCTTTTGGAATCGGATGTCCATGAATAGTTGGCAGATCAATGATAGTGCCAATTGCCACAACATTTCCTTCAGCGTATAAGGCAACAGCATCTATTAAATAATACAAGAACTTAATAATATAAAGTTTCAGCTCTTTAAGTAGTGATAAAAAAGACGGTTAGTGCGTGAGGAGATTAAGAAGAAAAAAATGTGAGACAACAAAAGCTGCGTGTAGAAAAACCCAAAAAAACCCAAAACACTTGCGTGCTTCAGTGGTATACCTGATGGCATATCCATAGATGAAGTTAAGGTTGTGGGTATAAGATTAGTTGACAAGGACGACGAAGGAACAGTAGATACTGAAGTGGTGGTTGATACTGGAGGGATAATAGTAGTTGTTTGAGAAAGGAGGGTGGGTATCTTGATAGAGACGCTGGATTTTGGAAGAACGGTGGATGTTAGAGAAGGAATGGTGGGTGTTGGGGAGGAATTGTGGATGTTGGAGAGGAATTGTGGATGTTGGAGAAGGAATTGTGGATGTTGGAGGAGGAATTGTGGATGTTGGAGGAGGAATTGTGGATGTTGGAGAAGGAATTGTGGATGTTGGAGGAGGAATTGTGGATGTTGGAGGAGGAATTGTGGATGTTGGAGGAAGAACGGTGGATGTTGGAGGAGGAATTGTGGATGTTGGAGGAAGAACGGTGGATGTTGGAGAAGGAATGGTGGGTGTTGGAGGAGGAATTGTGGATGTTGGAGGAGGAATTGTGGATGTTGGAGAAGGAATTGTGGATGTTGGAGGAGGAATTGTGGATGTTGGAGGAGGAATTGTGGATGTTGGAGAAGAGGTGGATGTTGGAGAGGAATGGTGGGTGTTGGAGGAGGAATTGTGGATGTTGGAGGAGGAATTGTGGATGTTGGAGGAGGAATGGTGGATGTTGGAGGAGGAATTGTGGATGTTGGAGGAGGTTACCACGTACATGTTTGTAACTGGCCAAAACAACAATATCCCAACCATGACGACATTTTAGAATTTTTGCCTAAATGATTAAACAATAATATTCGAGTCCTAAAAAGATCAAATTGTACATGCTATGATATATATAGAAGACTGAAATCATAAGTATAGCTAGAAAAAACTTTATAGAAAGAGAGACCCATTATGGTAAAGCTACATATTATTATAAGTCTATTAAATCTGTTGTCATTATACAAAATAAACACAAGTCTGAAATCTAAAAAGCACTAGTCCAGCAAGATACATTGATAGAAAATCATTCTGGAAACAATCAGGAGAGAACTGTCTGTAAACCGGGTGTGCCAAAAAAACTTTACTTGTTTGAATTCTAATAATTTGCAAACTATAAAAGCTATTCAACCAGAATAAACTCTATTGCATGCAGAAAGGGCTAACATAGATTTATATATTATAATATATATTATATTATATAATATATATTATATATATATATATATATATATATATATATAGCATGTTCCTTGTTAGTTCGTTGCAATATTGACTGTGCTATTTAATAATTTTAAATTGCATAACATTACCTATTAAATCATGGTAAGTTTACTTGTAAAATATTTATTCTTTATAAAATGCACCCATATATGCACAATAAAGACCATTTTAAATCTATTTCTTTGTTATCGGAAGTATATCCTTTTTATGCCATATGAAATCAAACAAATAAACAAACAGTGACTGTACTTCTATTAGACACTCAAGGTCTGTTATATTGTACAAACACAAATAGTCTATATGGCAGAAAAAGAAGAGACATCCAGGCATGCCGGAATATCAATAATTGGGGGGGGCAGATATTCATATATGCGAGTTCTGCATTATTGATTTCTTTTGAAATCAATTGTTTTTACGGTCTGTGAACTTGAATATATGAATACCTGCCCCCACCCCCAATTATCGATATTCCTTCGTCCCTGGAGACATCTAATGTTTTTAGGCTATAATTAGGATGATAAAGTTTTAAACATTGTCTGTCAGATTAGTGCAAAGCACCGCAATCAACCAAAAATATTCAAATTTACTGTAACATTTTTTATAACTGACAGACATCAAAAAATATTTTACTTTCTGGGACCACAAAAGAACATTAGGTTCTTTTGTGAATAATCACCAAATCAACAGTAACAAATTGTTAAACTTAATGTAATGCCACATTTTAACAGAAAAATCTTAATTAGGTATGTATATACTATAAAATTAATTAATTTAGATTATTGATCTGGTGTCCGATCTTAGCTTGAAATGCATTTGCCATACAACATTAATATTTTTTTCTGTTTTGAGGGAATATTCTGATGTAACTGAAAACATTATCTCCTATGATGATGTTGTTAACGATGAAGCTTAGGTACTGTATCCAAGCACTTCCAAGGTACATTATGGCAGTGGCATAACTTTACTTTTTTAACCCATTAAGTGGCAATGCACCCCAGTGCGCCCTACTTGTTTTTTTACTTGTCTAACGCCAGATGATTTTACTTGTCAAGGGGAAAGCTCTGCCACTTAATGGGTTAATTGGTCGCCCTGAATAAAACTCACTTCCCATCAGACAATGGTTACTGAGATACCTAGGTAGGGGGTATAAAATAAGGGGACGAAGTAACTTCAGAATACCAAGCCACTTTAACCCCTCCTTAATCCATATACTGCCTCAAATCCAGCTTGGGCTAAAAAAAATGTGAATCAAGTACATGCAACTTGATTCAACAATAAAAAATTTATCTGACAATGAAAACAAGCCAGAAACTATGCAAACAAAGCTGCCAATGTCTTATGTTAACGAATTAGGTGGCAATGCACACTGCTTTAATAGTTTACTCTAGACCATTTCACACTGGCAAGGTACAGTACTGCCAGTAAATCACATAGGATTTCTGTTTCCCGACTATTTTGGTGTTACTATTGTTACAATTTAAAAAAGCAACAACTCAGTATTTTGCACAAAAATTCAAAACATAATTTAGTATTTCATGTTATTCATTTCTGTAATTTTTGCTGTAAAATTGTATGAAATGTAACTGCTTGCATATATATTTCACGGATTTTCGTTTATAACTTGCTTTATAAAACATTAAAAAGCGAGTAGAAACCTTTTGCATATATATTCAACTATTAGCTTACTTAGCTAAGCTGTACTTTCCTTCTTACCCGTTTCTTTAGCAAATTGAATTGCTTTGTTGGGTTTGTTTTACCCATATTTAATATCCGGGCATCTTCTTCGTTGTCTTCGTTTTGCTCGATGTCAACGACTATGCTCTCCTTGCAGATACGGCATCTCTTTGCTGCTGGACCATTGTCGTTGTTGCATTTGCCACATCGTTTCGGGCGCCCAGCCTACAAATTTTTAATTCATTGATATTGTTGTTTGCGTATATGCAAATGCCTTCGGTCATTTCAGTCGTACAAATATAAACATATGCACTTTGAAGGCGGACTATTTCTATAAAAATTTATAAATCATACCATATCAGCTTTGTTAGAGTAACTCCAAGCACTTTCGAAGGCCAAAAAAGTAAAGAAAGATCCTTAAAGATCAAGTAATCGACAGGAAAGGAGAACCAACGTGAACTGTTACCCGCGTAAACCCAAAAAACGCCGCGTAATTCTATATCGAATACACGTAATTATTATTGGTCCTGGCAGGGTCCTGGGTTCTAGCTAGCGACTAACGTGCACCTAGCTTACCCATTATAGGTAATCTAAGAGCATTTGACAATTACCTATTATAGGTAATCTACGACTGAGGATGTGTTGGTTTAGGGAGGTTTGGGAATGATTTTGTGCAATGTTTATTTTCTTCGTGTCCTTGCGCCTCGTGTTTGAATCGACGTTCTTCCTCGTTAAAAATATGAATGTCGAATTGAAAGAGCTTTCAGAACCATGTTCAACAACTACAAAGGTAAGTTGTTAAGATTTAGATTGTATTCATATGCTGTGGCGGTAATTGCATATTAGTATACCCAAGATTTTCTGTTTTATAGTTGATTTAGTCATTTAGTGATTCACGTTGACGTAGTGTTTTAATACAAACCAGGTATATACACGCCTAAAAAAGCTCAGGTTGATGCAATTTGAAATGAACAGGATGGAGCAATGTTGTGCCTACCACATTGTTCAGAGTTGTTATCAATATTGAACAATATTGTTGAAACTGAATCGGGTTTAACAATATTGTTCAATATTGATACAAGTGAACTGAACAATGTGGGCAGCACAACATTGCTCCATCCTTTTTATCAACTTGCATCAACCTGAGCGTTTTACGCGTGTATAAGGTACTGTTTGCTCTCAGAAATTATACATACTACAAGTAAGCCGAAGCAAAGTAATTTTAGAAATTTTAAATTAAGTTGCCAAGTTGTGTCTTATTTCAGATTACACCATGATATTCTTTTATCACAAATATAAATGTATAAATGATTACAAAGCCCGGTCGAATTGTAATCAGGACCCAACATTTTGACAGTCCAGTCTACTGTCTTCACCAGGGGTGATCTAAAGCTGGAATCGAAGCTTCTTAAATACTCAAGGGATGATGTCAATGAGACACATATATTCCTTTGGGAAATAGGCACCGTCATCCTTATTCAGAGCATGATTACTCATATTTATATGCCACTTTCTAGGCAAAGTCTTTGACCATATCGATTGTTAGTGGTAATTACTTTAGAGTTTTCCCTTGACAGAGCACCTATGTGACACCAAACCACAAGATTGCGTGGGAAACTTAAAGTAATTACTACTAACAATTGATACATGGTCAAAGACTTTGCCTAGAAGAGTGGCATATAAATATGAGTAATCATGCTCTGAATAGGGATGACAGTGCCCGTTTGCCAGAGGAATATATGTATGCATCTTTTGGCTGGTGACATCATCCCTTGGGTATGATGTCAGATCACCCCTGATGAAGACAGTAGACTGGACTGTCGAAACGTTAGGTCCTGATTACAATTTGACCAGGCTTTGTGATATATATAACCAGAGTAGCGAGGGATAACGGGTTAAAAGGGATATTAAAACGGTTCCTATTAAAGGATTGATTTGCCAACTTATAAACCCTATATTTTGTTCTAATTTCCAGGTTTTGGTGCTCATTTGCAGGAAGTTGAAAAAAAAATTAATGTCCCTGAGTGTGAATTCCATGAATGCACATTTGAATACCAAGTCACATTCCAATACCAAGTCACATTTGAATACCAAGTCACATTTGAATACCAAGTCACATTTGAATGCCAACTTAACTTTGAATGCCAACTTAACTTTAAATGCCAACTCACCTTTGAATGCATACAATGAAGTTACAATGAATAAAGTTATATTAATTAATGAAGTTACATCAGTAAACAAAGGAAGCTTTACCTCCACGCAAACAATTATGCAGGGTATGTCAAGCATATGCGGACCTCAAGAAGGAACAGTTAGCGAAGTTAAAGTTGGAAGAATAGTATCTTCAATATGGGGCAACAAGGTCGTTAAAACGAAATCGTCTTCGTCAACTGGATCCGGTTATAGAAATCTACAGATCCGCCAAATAAAGCTAAAAGATAAAGAGGAAATCGTAGGCTTTGATGAATCAACTGTTGATAGCATTAAAGTACTCGGTAGAAAGTTCCAAAACTGGATTGTTGATCTTTCGTCTCAGGAGAAAGGCGCCATTTCATTTTTGCGACTTTCGAATACAGTTGAAACAGATATAGATATAGAAGGATGTCGTGTTTTTCCAGAGATCACTATCAGTTTGTACCCTGCTGTCAATATTGTTATCCGCACACACGGTGATGCTGTTCCAATTGAGGTTGTTGAAAGATCTAGCGAAAAAATCGTCGTTTCA